GCGGCGGCGCTGGCGACGGACAACAAGCGGCAGCTGCAGGTGAGGGTGGGGCGGGGGTGGCTGTGTGGGGTGCTTGTTGTTTGTAGGAAGGGCTGCAATTGGACGGTGGCGGCATGAGGTTTTGGTATCTGTGCTTTGTGAAAGGGGGGCTGAGGAGGGAACTAGTTGATGAATGCGTGTGTGTGTGTGTGTGTGTGTGTGCCTGAGCGTATGTGCTTGTGCGTGCGCGTGTGCATGTGTGTGTGTGTGTGTGTGTGCATGCGCGCGTGCGCGTGTTTGTGTGTGTGATTGTGAGCGTATGTGTATATACGCGTGTGAATCTGTGCACACACACATGCGCACGCTCGTGTGTGTGTGTGTGTGTTTTTGTGTGTGTGTGTGTGTGTGCGCGCGCGCGTGTGTGTGTGTGTGTGTGTGTGTGTGTGTGTGTGCAAACGTAGTGGATTGCACACTCTTCTGGACGGCCGGTGACGAGGCTAAGAATTCTATACAAGCTCCAACCGATAACCCGTGAGGACGCAACTCTATTACTATCATCCGAGGCCGTCTCATTCCCCATCCCGCACGCCTTTGTGCCGCGACCCCCCCCCTTCCCCCCAAAACCTTGGTGGCGCCGAAATGTCAACGATACGCACCTCACCAGGGTTTTCGCATTCCCGCTCACCACACACTTCCCCCTTACCAAACATGGACTAACCTCTTCACAAACCCCGGGGACGACCGCCCCTCCCGTCCCCCCTCCCAAAACTACCAACCCCAGGTGCTCTACGGCACACTCCTGCAGCACTTTGCCATGATCGCCGGCGACGCACCCACCCCCGTGGCCAGCCTCGACGTCCTGACCCAGGCCCTGCTGGCCGCCACCCAGGAGGTCCCCTTCTACGCCACCACCGCCGCCCGCGCACGCCTCGGCCGCATGCAGGAGCAGCTCTCCGCAGCACTAAAGGACCCCCTGTCCGCCCCCCGCGCGGGCTGGCCGGGCGCGCGGCAGCTGCTGCAGCTGCGGCTGTTCAGCCTGCTGTTCCCGGTTTCCGACAAGCGGCACGCAGTGGCGACGCCGCTGGCGCTGCTGCTGGGGCGATACCTGGCGCAGTGCCCAGTGCCGGGCCCGCAGGAGGCGGCGGTGGGGCTGCTGGTGTCTGGGCTTGCCCTGCAGGCCGCGGCGCCCGCAGGCCGCGCGGTGCCGGAGGCGGTCGCCTTCGTCGCGGCCGCGCTCGGCGCGTTCGCGCCGGCGGCGGAGGGCGGGCGGCAGCAGCAGCAGCAGCAGCAGGTGGCGAGCCTTTTCGCGCCGGGCTGCCTCGCCTTTTCTCAGGAGGCGCGGGAGGCGGCGGCGGTGGGGCCAGCAGCGAACGGCAAGGCGGCGAAGAAGGGCGGCAAGAAGGGCGGCAAGAAGGGCGGCGACGACGGCGGCAGCGGTGACGCGGCGGCAGTGGGAGCAGGAGCGGAGGAGCTGCCGCCGCTGCAGCTGTACCCGCTGCTGAGCCTCCAGCCGGGCGCGGCGGAGTGTAAAGAGGACGGCTTCAAGCTGCGCCTGCTGGGCTGCTGCCTCGCCACCGCGCGCGCCGCCGCGCGCGCCGCGGCGACGCACTTCCTGGCGGCAGCGCCGCCACTGCTGCGGCCGCTGCTGTCCGCGGCCGAGGGCTTGCTCGCGCCTGGGGCGCTGCCGCGGGGCGGCGCGGCGGCGGCGGCGGTGGCGGCGCTGTTGGATGAGCTGCGGGGGGTGGTCGCGGCGGCGGAGGCGGCGCGGGCGCCGCTGGTGCAGCCGGCGCGCGCCAAGGCGCGGGTCATCAAGGAGTACACGCCCCGCTTTGAGGAGGGCTTCCACTCCAAGGTGGGTGGTGGGCGGGGGGGCGCCTCAAGGGCCTTTGTACCCTTCGTCGTGTGGGGTCAGAAAGGACGCTCCCTGGCGTTCAAAGGAGCGGGAGCGCAAGCGCAATGTTTTGCGGCGCGAAGAGCAGGCAGCTGCGGTGTGGGCGCCACATGTCGAGCCTGGGGCGCCCGCGCGCCCCGTCCCGCCCCTGCCATGGG